TTATGGCATGTCGAAAGAAGAATCTCATTTCAGAGACATTTGTGTTCCAACATGGAGAGCCAAGACTGTCGAATTAACAATTTCCATGAATTTCTTTGAAGTAGCATCATTGTCACAATTCAAGCAAGGTACATTTATCACAAATTCTGACCTCTACAAGCCATTACTTCATTTTTCTGTCCACATATCCTGTAATTTCACTAATTGTAATAACTCTGAGGTCTGCTCAAGACTTGGGACTGACAAGTGCCCAATCAATACTTCAGTTAAGACGACACCATCTGTCAAAGCGTCACAAAAAAGAAAATTCATTCATTCACCGCATTAACAGTACTTTTAATTAAATTTATGTGAAAACAAGTAATGAAGCTTTCCTAAATCTTTTTTTTTTTGTTCATATACAGCAGTTTATTACGGCTGTCTGCTGTTGAATCTGTGGACAGTACTTGTAAACCACAATCTCTCAAAAAGGTAGGGCGATCGAATGGTCTTTTTTGTATTACTCTACTTTTTGGACAAGTTTGGGCTGAAGGCATCAAAAATTCCCTCAAAATAATTCAAGCGGGTTCGTAGTTATAGGAAGTGGTAGCAAGCCAGCAAATGAAAGCTGAAACACAGGCCGTACAGACAATTCCCTTCGTGTAACGTGGATACATAAATTGTATCCCAGTTTACTTTTTAGAGCTGCACACACAACGCCGTCTGTGGCCTGTTTGTCGCCTTGATCGAGTGTCAGACAGGCCTCCAGTTGCTCTCTGCGGCGAAAAGAATGGTCAGTGAGGCATCGCTTTCCTTTCCGTTTTTCTTTAAAGACGCCTAATTGAACATTCCTTCAGCTTTAAATTTTACCATGATATATATATATATTTCTTTTTCCTTGTTACTCTTGTGTTATACATATTTCATGCTAGGGTTGACAAATGTCTTTTACAACATGGCCACCCAAAATATCGGCAGAAATGTGGGACAAGAAAACGATCGTTTTCTTTCCTGACCATGATCATGATTTAGCAAGAAGTACTATAATGCAGCAAAATATTCATAAAGTTAATTATTCAGCGGTTGGCAAACACAAGGCAATTTGAAATTTCAATTTAAAGATAACTTTTTTGTGGACACAGTTAAAGGCTCAAATTTGCGGTAAAAGGGAACAGAAGCTGTAATCTTTTTTTATATTAAACTTTTGGTTATTTAGCCTGGGTATTTACATATACAAAAAATTTCAGTGACATTTTCTCTGTTGATTGATAAGCAGGTAGTCTGCTATATGCAATTATCTGTCTGCAGGAAAGTCTTATGATAATTGACTTTGCATGAACGATTTTTATTTCAAAGGATCAAACCTGCCACAGTTCAGTTTTAGCTGTTGGATCTGTGCTAAATATAACAATATTTCGGACCACGAAGGTTTCGGGCAAAACGCTAAATAAACTGTTAGCTATCTGTTTTTTTCTCTCGATTTGGCGCAGGAACCGTGGGAGAGAGGAGATTGGGACGAGACATAGCACGTCCTACATTGTTCTGATCCAGCCCTTCTCAGACAAACCGACACTGTCGCTTTTAGCTTTCTCTCCAAGCTCTAAGGACTATAGGACAACATGATATTCTTAGGGGAGGGAATATTCTTGAAGACCCTCCAATAGGTGTAGGTATTCCGTCCGTAAAAAAGGGAAATTTAGACAGCGTTAGATTATGATTGAAGTGGTGCATGTTGGGATAGGCTGACGATTGAGGGTTTCTGCTCGGCTGAACTTGAGTATATAACGGACTGGTCATCATTTATCTCCTCGGGGGGGAGGGAGTGTCGAAGAATTTTAGTTGCGTCACGCTGAATTTACCCGATAAGGCTCTGTAATAATCTTATGATCATTTCTCATTGGCAGTCAATTTTCAATAGTCCCCCCCCCCCTTATACCTTGTTAGTTACGACTGATTCCCCCCTTCCTTCCTCCTAAAAACCATGTTATCCCCCTCAAATTCCCCCAAACTCCCTATCATCCCCCTCTCAGGAGGGAAGTAATGACTGATCTCTAACTTCCAAGCTTTGTTATTCATGCTTGATTACTGTCTCTAACTGTAACTGCTTCATCAGACGCATCAATACACTTATAATTGAATACTGTGAGCGCTGTGATTGGCTGTTGCGTTTGGGCTATGAGAATATAGACGTACAGCTGACGTCAGTGATACGCTCGCTTGAGGCTCATTTGCCATTTTACTTATTTCACTACTTTGAGTGGTCATTAGTGATTTAGAACTCAACAGACACATGGAATAATGGAACGCATCTGTTAAGCAGAGTCTCTCAAACCGTAAGAATTTCATACCTAGAGCTTGTTCCAAACTACAACTAACATAATTAAAAATGCATGTTTAATATAATCTTTTCATCAGCATTGAGTTTTGAACAACAGGAAGTTCAAGTCATGACGCCTATAAGCAAAAATATTTCACCGAATCCTCCACTCTTTTAAATAACTTGAAGAACAACAAAAACAAATTTGCCATCCACTTAATCGCTGTCATCAATTATTAACTATAAACAACACGTCGTTGCATTTGGAAGTATAAGTATGCTATATCTGCTGACTCATTATTCATCGTCATATTTAACTGCTTCACCGAGCTCTTTGTCACAAACATTACTTACCGGATAAGAAACTTTTGCTAAGGGAAATAACTTGAACCAGCTCATTACAGGAAAACTGGTGACTCATTCCTTGACGGAAAATTTATACTCTGATCACCGAGCCCCTTGTGTACAAGAAGAGAAAAAGACACCTAGGGACACATACGAACAGAGTACTGGGAAATTGGTTTGGTTTATTAAGGTATTATTGCTCGTTGTCAAATCAGGAAATTGCAAACCACCTTGAATTTTAAAAACGAACGTGCTTTAATAACAACATGATCATCATTTATTTAGTCAATATATATTTAGAACAGCAATGACGCAAAATATCAGGTGATATCGTGGTAAATTCATTATGTTGGAGAGTTTTTTTTTTATATTTTTCAGAATCAGGCGTCCATCAGCCGCGTAATAGCTTCATGGCAAAAGCTTGTGGTTAGCACGTTTCGCACTCTGAAAAAAGTAAAATAACAACTCGGCTGTATATCTATGATTAAAGTATAGATTTTCAATACACTTGTTTGCTAAGATTAAAGACTGTTGAATAAGATTACTTTACACATACGTACTATACGACATATATGTAAAATTGGCTTCCTACGGTGAAAATAACGCCAACTTTGAAACCTTTAGATTTACATTGATATTTCATTATCAATATCACCTGTTCGATGATCACATGACTGCACATGTTTGGAAAAACCATTTGTATTCCGTTTATATTTGACTGCTTGTTAGGTATTTAGGTTTCCAAGCACAATTTTAACTTACAGTTTCAGTTTCATTAACAAATTTTCTATTCAGTCTCAATCGCAAGTGTAGCAATGACTTTGAATTGACGCTCGTTACGCCGGCTGACCAAACACGGATAAAATTTTATTGATAAACCTCTTTAAAAGCGGTAGTATGCTAAACTACTTTTCAAATTATGCGGACGAATTGTTTTTTTCCGCCTACGTCGGCCTTCCTGTAGAAAGCGTGTCGGAAGTTTCGTTCGAGAAGTAAGTGTGGTTAACAGTGCGACAATCGTTCGCAAAAAGTACGGCACAAAGGTAATGTTCAAATCTTTATTCTAAACTTCAACGGCCATATCATAACGATACATTTACATTTACTCTTATATGATTAGTAAACACAATGTTGTGGGATTTCTCAAATGTAAAAAAAGTAGAAGAAAAAATTTCATGCGTAAAGATGCCGCCATGTCTGCCAACTTTATTAGTATTTTTCAAGAAATGATGTTTAAGTTTTACAACTTGATGCTTCACTTGCTGTCTTCAAATTAACATTTGTGCACAGTTAAAATAGAACTTTTTCACAAGACAACTGTTAAGTTGAAATGAAAGATTCCGCTCACAGCTGAGTATTGATTCAAGCTGGCTCGTACGTGTGGATCAATTCCGTGAGTTTAAAATGCTGACTTTCACGATTTTAAATTGTCACGTTTTTATGTTGTTTAGATTACAAATCATTTTGAATGAGATAATTATGTGGAATGGAAATATTTTATTTCAGGATTTTCTTTTAATGGGTCAAAAGACTTCGAACAAATGAAATACACAACAAGTTGGAAATTTAGGAAAAAAACAGATAGAGTAAAGCTATTACGACAAAGTCCGATGTTGTTCCCGTAAAATAAATTTGTCATCAATCGCTTAAGAGTAAAAATTCTAATCATCTGTCACATTAACAAATCAACGCACGTCTTTAGGATATTGCCGAATATCGTTTGTAGCGCACTTCTACAAAATGGAAAAAAAAAAAAGAAAAAAATAGCGTTAAATGCATTTACTTTTTCAAATTATTTTGACTTCCTCGCAAAAAAATTGGGGCGGACCGAGCTTTAAATTTCATCGACGCCTTGAAGTCTACATCATTGTTATTCAAGCCCTAAGGCACTCGGTTTCATATCTATGGATGAGATGCACACCTTGAATTTTACCAGATCGGTAGATTGAAGATTTCTGCGGTATGATCTAAAATTTTCACGTAATATGACTTGCGTAATTCAAAATATTAATCAGAAAGAAATCAAGGTAATGTCATTTTTCCGATCTTTGTTTTCATCATTAAAAACCAAATCAAGAACAAAAAGTGAAAACTCTTCAAGCGTGCAGACAGATCTTAATTTTGTGTTTGTACCAAGAGTCCGAAGTTCATAGTGTGTTCTTTCATTATCTTGGCATGTTGTTACCTTAATATAATATCGTAATTATAGTCATGATGTATACCTGTACGGTATAACTGATCATTCTGATAAGAGATAATTTACGGTGAAAAAGCATTTTTAATCATGTTTACAGAGATAACAGAGAGACTGGAAAGGAAGCTAAGGGTTAAAAGCCTGGGAGAAGGTCTCCTTGAAGTTAAGGAAAATATGTAACAATTGTGCTCCGGCAAAAACGAATTAATAATTATCTGAGGAACACTGAATCTGCGCGTCTGAAGAGCAGTCTCGAAAGCTTTTATATAAAAGGATCGGTAACATTTTTTTCTTCATCATTAACAGGCTTGTGGATCGATTACAAAATTTTTAGGTGGTAGTTGTCAGAAGATATAAAAGTGTCTTTGTCTCTTGCAGATATATAGTCCAGAGCGAGCTCGTCGAAATCTTGGCCAAACCGCACTGGAATAATGTTACGAGTTCTTATGTTGCAAGTTGCGGTGTCCATGTTGACTTACCAAACAACTAACGGTAAGAAACAAACTCTGGAAAAGTGTAAGAAAGCTTTTAACTTGTATACCTTTCAAGTGTTTTGAATAGCGCTTGGGAAGTTTTGGCGTAAAAATATGGTTTCAGGTAAAATTAAATTAAAGCTAAATTTCTATCAGACTCCGTGGTATATCTGCTATAAAACATTTTTGGAAGGGGATGAGGCATGTTGAAATTTAGATGAGAGGGAAGTCTTAAAATACCGATGACTCTAAAGTGGTACATTCAGGAATAACATACACCTCCATGATTTACATGATACAGTGTTGATTGAAAACAAAGTACTTGAGGTCAAATGAAACATTAAATTCAAAATTATGGGGGTTGATTATATTTTTAAAATGGTTTCTGTTATTTCGGTGTCTATTTTTGTTTGATTGCGTTTGCGATGTGAGTTAATGGGTTAGGTTTTTTTAACTATATAAGTACATTTGCATTAAGCTATTTCACAAATAGAAAGTTTGTTGAATGAACAAATGTAATGTACTTTCACCATATTACTTAGAACCATAGCTTTTTAGCTATCTATGGCTTCTAGAGATGAATGAAAGAAAAAAATAACGGTCAAAGTACACATCTTGAAAATATATGCACGATCCATTACGCTAACCTGAGCTGCATGCAAGATCTCCCCCAATCGGAAAAAAAACGAATGCTCAAACATACGAACGTACTGTAAATCTATGCACGAACACACACAGCACGAGTATAAGTAAATAGGTAAGTGAATATCTCAACACATGAATGTATTGGACCGCAACTTTTGCGTTTATTCATTAAGTTTTTGCAAATAATTAAACGTTCTTGCGTTCGACGCAGCTTTTCAACAAGTTGCCACCCAAATTATGTAATTATCAATTTAGCAAAAACCTTTAAAGCAGCAAAAATGCATGGATAAAAAAGATAGAAATATTTAATACTTTTAACTTAATCTTCTGTATTTCTTTAAAAAGCGGAAAGAAATTTCTCTCGCAACCCTCAACAGCGGTTGTTGGACGATTTACTTGCGGGCTATGACAGAGATGGGCACCCAGGTGGCGGACAACGAGTCAAAGTGGATGTAGGCGCGAAAGTTGTACGGATTGTCAACATTGTAAGTAAACTCACAACGGGAAGCTTTGTAGGAATATTCAATATTCAATAGCGTTGCTTTTGTGCCTGTCACTCTGATTTGTGATTGGTCCAGAAAACTCGCGCCATTCAACAGAGCCAATCAGATGCTGTACTTTAACCAATCACGATTCGGACGCTCCCTTTTCCCCGTGCTTCAGGTGCCTTGCTTTATTTTGCACTGTTCTCAATGACAGTTGTATCATTTCTGTTTTTTAGGATTATCAATCGACATGAGCTTCAAAACAGTAAACAAAAGTAAATAAACTTGACCCCGTGCCACGGAAAGATCCAATCTCGTCTTTAGACATAACTGGAAAATTCTTGTGTTCTATTATTTTACAAAAGACCGCAAATTATAAGATTCAGACAATGTGATTAAAAACTAATTAATACGCTTTTAATTAATTATTCTGTTAAAAATAATTCTTAATAAATTAATAAAATACTTGTTTCCACCCCTGTAGGACGAGAAGAACAATGCTTTGCAGGCTCAATGGTGGATGAAACAGGTCAGTTTTTTTAATTTGTCTCCAACAAAGCTAAGAAAAGTAACTATAAAAAGCTACAACTGTTTGAAATGCAATCCAGCCTTCATGTTGTTGCTTTTAAGATATGCTATGCTGTTTGGCTAAAATTTAACAGACTCAGTACGTAAAGCGTCGCTTGATTGCCCTACTATGACCTCTCTTAGATATTCTACTAATAACGGCAGAGTTTGTCAAAGATGGAAGAAAAACGTGGGAACGATAATTGAAATGAAACAGAGACAGCTCATCAAGCCCCTAGCTGAATTGGTCCATCATGATCAAAGGCACGCGATGCGTACAGAGGCTCATTACGCTGGTGTTGCATTTTAAAATAAACAGACCAAAAACTAGTTTTTAAACAGATTTTGTAGACATGAGCAAGTTACAAGTTTAATTACTCTTAGGACTGGAACAATCCTGACCTCAGATGGAATCCAGACGACTATGATGGATTACAAACGGTTTATGTGGTTCCATCAAAGGTGTGGGTACCAGATGTTTTGTTGTACAACAAGTAAGTGCATGATTCTAATTTTCTTTCTAAAAGACCGCACGTTCTTGCAATCCTTCAATGAATTAATTCTTCAACCTTCTTCAGTGAGCAAGACAGAATTTCTCCTTAAGGTTTCAAAACAATATTAAGCAGAAAAGTGAAGAGAACAAAGAAAAGTATCAATTGGAGATTATATGTTGATCCAATAACAAATTCTCCAAAACCAATGAGATCTTTGGAGTAAAAGGGTGAATCTTATTATTTCCGTCGTTTAATCACGGTGTTCCTGAAACAATATTAGTGCAGAATTCGTTGTCAACCGGCAGCAAGAACTCTCAGACTTAAATTCAGTTAATTAAATCCCTGATCAACATACCAAGTAAAGTTTATTTTTCAGCGCTGACAAAGAAATGGATGCTGCTGGTGCACTGGAGAAATACAAAACCAAAATTTCCCTGTCCTATGATGGAAACAACTCGTGGATGGCGCCAGCTATGTTCCAGAGCATTTGCAAAATCGATATCAAGTATTTTCCTTTCGATGAGCAACACTGTCATATGAAATTTGCTTCCTGGGCTTATGACGTCTCAAAGCTTGACGTTTACGTCAATCCTAAAGAGACAGGTCTACAGAAAGGGATTTACCAGCCGTCCAATGAGTGGCACCTCGTTAGTGTCGATGCAGTGAGGAATGAGGTATGCACAAGTTATCAAATAGTACACTCCGTAGCACGGGCGTATTCTTGGCCACCAAACGCTCTGTGGTTCTTTAACAGAACTTCGGTCGCCATCTCGGGTTTTTAGGATAGAAGGAGGCTGGGAAGGGCAAGAAATTTTTGTCGATGTAAAGGAAGAAAACGGGAGGGGGGGGGTATACGCTAAAGCTTCTTCGCTAAATGTCCTGCCTTACTACCCCTACGTTAATCCTCAACCCGAATCAAACTTATTTGATCAACAAACGATCGTCAGTGTTTATCGCTAACTCGCTCTCTGTAATAAAACACTTTTGAAAGGTAGGGGTGGTAGATGATGCAAGGGAAGGGTTCGCGGGATTCAGACCCCCTTACTTGCTTGGTATGGTATGGTATGGTGACTTTATTTACACACGGCATTTCCTTCAGGTACATTTACATTCAAATAGAGAAAACTAACTACCTAACTAAACTAGAATCTAAGGTAAAAGACTAAAATAATTACGATGAAAAGAAAACATCTGCTTTCCAAGGAGGCCGTGTGTAAAAATAATGTATAGCTGATTAAATTATTTCACTGAATTGAAATTCAGGTCCCTTAATTTTCCCTTAAATACAGTAGGGGATGTCAATTGCCGCACCTCAAGCTGTTCCATAAC